ACTCAGCGCCCTGCGGCTGTCAGAACAACTGCGCGAGAAGGAGGAGCAGATCCTGGCGCTGGAGGCCGACATGACCAAGTGGGAACAGAAGTATTTGGAGGAACGTGCCATGAGGCAGTTTGCCATGGATGCGGCTGCCACAGCTGCTGCCCAGCGTGACACCACTCTCATCCGACACTCCCCGCAGCCCTCGCCCAGCAGCAGCTTCAATGAGGGTCTGCTCACTGGTGGCCACAGGCACCAGGAGATGGAAAGCAGGTTCGGCATTGCAGGCCAGGCACCTGAGGTTTGGGAGGCGGGTGGCAATGTCCAGTCACTGCCCTGCCCTTGATCCCTGATAAACAAACCGCTTTCCCCACACAGCTCAGCAGTCCCTCCTGCTTCTGAGCTGAACCTGCATGCTTGGCACACCAGGCGCTGTAAACTTGCATTTGCCTAGAAATACCGAGTCCTTGGTCTACCCAAGAGACTCTTACTGTGGAGGTGTTGGGTGCCGTTTAGGGCTTGGGCCCTGCCTCCCCTCTCCAAAGTGCTGCCCTCCAGGATGAGGGCTGTGCCGCCACTATCATCTGATGACTCTGGAACCCACCCTTGATGGCCTGCCTTTCCTGGTGTGGGAAGGGCCCAGGGCCTTATGCACTGGTGGTTTTCAGAGCCTGGGCTCTAAGAGCATCAAATGCCAGAGCTATGGTACCATTTCTAAGTCCCCTCTAGGTCCCTGCTACAAGCACAGAAGGATCCAGCCTGGCAGGGTTAGGGGAGTGGGGGTGCTTTTCCTCTAACTCCTATGAGGCAGGAAGGGTGGAGGCTGCTGGATCTATGGGTCTGACAGTGTGGGCATGGCCTCTCACCCCTCAGGTTAAAGGTGCTCCATGCCCAGATCCTGGAGAAGGATGCAGTGATCAAGGTCCTTCAGCAGCGCTCCAGGAGAGACCCTGGCAAGGCCACCCAGGGCTCCCTACGGCCTGCCAAGTCGGTGCCATCTGTCTTCGTGGCTGCAGCAGCAGGAACCCAGGGCTGGCAAGGGCTCTCTTCTAGTGAACGACAAGCAGCAGACGCCCCTGCTCGGCTGACTACAGGTAAGAGGAGGCGGCTGCTGCTGGGATAGATTGAGAGGTAGTTTCTCCTGGGCCCGAACATAGATTGCCAGACCTTTCCTCCCAGAACTGAGGCTCATGGGAGCCAGGGCTTCCCGATTATCTCCCAGGGGAGCTGGCTTATTCTCTGCCTCCAGTGACTCTACAGCCCACGGCTCTCCTGCCAGTGTGAAGAGGGGTATTTAGTCCCCATCGCCGTAAATTCCATCATGCTTCAGCCCCAGCCACTGAACTGAGAAAAATAGAGCTTCCTGTGCAGATGCACCTTCTATGCAAGCCCCCTCCACTCTTCGATGCCACAGAAACTCTGAAAGATTTAATCTACAAAGAAGGGTCCCACCACCCAAAACATTTGGAAGCCAATCCAATCTGGTAGTTATTCCCATTTTAAAATAGGAGCATTTTTAGTCTTAAAGTTCTTGCAGATCAAGAGCAGCCCACTCCACCTTGAATCCCCAGCAAGGACAGTTAACTTACAGTGTCCTTCACCAGGGCCACATCTTACAGGAGTGGCAATAACCATCCACCTACCTTCCCAGCAGACAGGGCACCCACAGAGGAGCCAGTGGTCACATCTCCCCCTGCTGCCCATGCCAAACACGGGAGCAGAGATGGGAGCACCCAGACTGACGGCCCCCCAGACAGCACCTCCACCTGCCTGCCACCGGAGCCTGACAGCCTTCTGGGGTGCAGCAGTAGCCAGAGAGCAGCCTCTCTGGGTAAGTCCTCCTGACCCCACTTCCGTGCTAGGCAGGGCCAGGGGAGCACTGGGGTGTGAACTGGAACACCAAAGCCTTTTCTTCCCAGCCCCCTCTGGGTCATTGCCTGCACTCCATGGGGAGCCCTGCATAGCCAGAGGTGAGCAGTGTGCCTGGCCCACCTCACTGTGAACATGAGGGGTGGCTGGTTGCATGAATAGGGAAATGGGAAACCCTGATTAGAGGCAGATCCAGAATTCAGAAAGAAAGCAACCAGATGGGAGGCACTTTATCTCCTCTTTCATGGTCTTCCCTACATAGTTAATTTCCAATTTGATTATCCAAGAGAATGGAGCTTGCAAGTCATGCCGATGGCACGCTGGAAGCCTGTTGAGAGTCCGGGAAAGAGAAATCTGAGAAGATGCCATTTCTTTTTCCACTCCCCTTTCACACTGGCCTTTGCATATTTGCCTGTGCCTCCTGATCTCAGAAAACCACAGGCATGAAAAGAATGCTGCAGCCTCCCTCCCTCAGGCTCTCCATTGCTCTGTCTAAGCCCTCCAACCAGTTCAAAGTTAGAAACAAATGCATCTTACACATCGGAGGTTGGTGGGCTGGGCTGAGCACTGAGAGGGTGCAGAGCATTGTGCTTGGTTGGCCAAGTTCTGGGAACCTGGGCAGCAGAGGTGGGAAAAGTTGGTGAAGAAAGATCGTTGTATTTAAAATGTGCCAGGATTTTAAAAGCAATCTAGTAACACTCATTGCCATGTCCCTGTGTTCTTGTCTCTCTCCAGACTCTGTAGCTACATCCAGAGTCCAGGACTTGTCAGACATGGTGGAGATACTGATCTGAAGGAGGTGGTGCTTCAGGACTCTGAGCCATTCTCTCCTCTCCTCTGCCCTGTGCCACTCTCAGCCATTTCAGCAGCCTGTCAGCCGCTGCTTTGTCCCTTTCCCCAGCCAGACTCTCATTCCCATTGACCATCTGGTCCCAGGAGCTCAGGAGGAGGACCCCAGGGGAGAGGAGAGCTATGAGAGCACCAGCACCCCCAGAAGACTCTGCTTCTTAGCCCACATTCCTCCCGGCCTTATGGAGAATGAGGATTCAGCCTTGACTTGTTGCCCAAGGCCTGCTACTGGGGTAGCAACTGACAGCTCAGAAAGGAGCTGAGCTCCCTCTGTCCTGCCAGTTGTCAGTCAGGCAGGGAGGGAGGGGCTGTGTTGGTTTGGGGGACTAATTTCCCAGGACGGCTGCCCGTGGACACCAGGTAGACTGGTTCACTAATCAAGTCATCCATATTGTTCTCTGGCTAAGTTTGGTTCCAGCCAACCTCATCTGCTCTTCAGTTCCTCACTGCCTTCCTGGGATACTAAGACTTGAATCTTTTGGCGACTATTAAGGGTGTTAGTCTTGGAGAAGCCACAGCCTCACCTTCTCACCTGCTGTGGGTTAGGGGCCATTAAGTGGACTGGGAGACAGTGCAGTTTGTATATAATTCCCTTTCTTGTGGAGCAGAAGACTGAGGCTTGCAGGTTCCGATGTGTCTCCATGGGCTGTGCTCCCCTCTTCCTACTGTCACAGTTCCTGAAACTTCTGACTGGCCTCCCAGTTATGCCTCCTCCTCAAGTTCCTGGCCCGTGGATGTTAAAGCTGCTTGATTCCCAGGATCTCGGCTGCCTTTTCCTCCATCTTGAGCCCTACAAATGCCCATGGGACCCCCACCACCAGCCTCTTGAAGTGGCTCCACAGCTCCTGTCCCTGGGACATCCTGTCAGTTTGGTCATAAACCCTGAGCCAGATGAAATGAGCCACCTTGAACAGACATCTGCCATGCCCCCAGGTGGGCTTCGGTGGCCCTCCCCGGTACCAGTTCTCTCTGAGAAACTGGAGATGTTGTCTTGTTCGCATAAATAAGTGTCTTTGTTCCCACCTGGAGGGTTTGGGAGAGGAGCAAAGCGGTTGAAAACTAGTTAATGAACTACCAGAGTCAAATAGTCATCTGAATGGAGCCCCCATCACAAAACAGTGCCCAGGAGGCTGGCTCCTCAAGCTACCCATGCCCAGCGCCCTGAAGCAGGACCAGATGCCTTGGAATTGGGGTGGAACACCCACATGGCAGCCTGCCAGCAGCAGTGACTCCGACTTCTGGTCTTAGAGAATCCCTCACTTCAGCCCCAGGAGCTATGGGTGGGTTTTAGCAGTTTTGTCTTTACCGTTTTTAGTTCTCCTTGATTCTTTGTGTTCTTCCTTTATCGTTTTTAGGTTTGGTATGTGTTGTTTTATTTCCATGGTTCCTCAAGTTTCCTTTTTAAACATTTGCATTTGCTGGACAATTGCATATTTTTTTTAAATTCCCCTACCCCCGTTTAAAGCTGAAAAATACATTTGGTTCATGTGCATTGTTTACAAAGCAAAAAGAAAAAAGAGAAAAAAAGGCAAAAAATATCGTGAAAGAAAAAAAACACGACTTAATATATTTTGGATTAATATTTGGTATTTCTTTTAAAGTATTTTTTGTGCTGTGAACGTTTTCTGCCAAAGACCATGATGTGTGTCTGTATGTTTAAGTTATCGTAAATATTTAAAATGTAAACATGGCTGTTTTGTTATGCCACCCTGTACCAGGATTGCTGCCGCATTCCACTGGGTATAACAGTATTTTAATTAAAAAAAATAATTAAAAGTGATGTCTTTGCACAGGTGAGACTTTGCACTGAGGGAAGGGAAAGGGTGAGGATTTTGGGGGGCCACCCAAGTCATAGTCCAGTCTCTTCAAGGACCCAAAATAGAATCTAGGAATTTTGTGAAGCTGCATTAAGGACAGAGTTGGAATGAGGATATGGTTGGCATTTTTCCCCTTTCATAGGTAACATTTCTTGAAGACTGGGAGGGAAAGGAGGGCCTGGCAGATGGCAGCCTCCCCAAGTGGCTCTGTTCTAATCAGCTTTGTTTGGCCACATGCTGTGGTTATCCACAGTGGGAGTGGGTGTCCCAAGATGGCTTTATCCTTCCCCCACTCCTTTTCCCACTCCCACCTAGCATATAAAGTCTTGTCCGAAACCGTCCAGAAGGCCAGGCATCATGCAGAGGACATTCAAGGACGTGGCGTGTTCTTAGCCACTGCCTCCCTCCTTTGCTGTGACATCACCACTCTTTCCTGATGCTCAGGAAAGCATATTGCTTCAATTCAAAAAAAGAGAAAACCATTCTCAGTCTTGCTTGTTCTTGTATCAGAAACAAAATACCTGCCTTATGCTTCTACAAGTGTGGCAGGACACTGAGGTTCCCCGTCAGAATGTGGCCATTAGTCAGCTGGCCATGAGGCAGCAACAGGCTACCAGACAGCCTACATGTCGAACGGTTCCCCACCATGGCGGTGAGTGAAGTGTCCTCAGGGCCAGTGTGGGAACTCAGGAGCCATGTTGATGAGTAACTAAGTTGAAATCCTAAAGAAGGTGTCTTCCGGAGCCAGCCTACCAGCCACAAGTATGGAGACAAGCAGGTGGAAGAATTGGAAACATCCAAAAACTTTTCCAGCAACTTTGCAGATGGTGATAGGCCCCACTGGATGAGGAGCTCTCCATGCAGAGGCATCAGACCCACCCCATGGCCACACCTCCACCCAACCCTCCAGCCTGCCTCCTGCCACTGAGGCAGCATCTATGCCGGCCTTCCTCCCATTGAGGCCTGAACTGGAGTCAGGTTACTCACCTGAGATGCAGGCCTGGTCCGGGGAGGCAGCCTGAACAATAGGGCTCCTCACCCTCCCACCACTGCTCTTCCCTGGGCCACACCAGCCCATGGCTACATCTTCTGAGACTTGCTGTCCAAAACAAAATGTCAGTGCCTGTGGCAGGGAGTTCCAAAGGACAGCTTGGCAACTCAGACCTGTGAACAATAAGCCCTGACAACAGTGCCATCTCACCCCAGTACTTTTGGCCAGGGGCTTCCAAAGCATTTGCACCTTCTGTGAGATCCAGTCTGTGGAAAGTCACATTAATGTTTCCTTGGCACAGACCAAGGAGAATAGGAAATCAGTCCCAGTGTACCCAGCACATGTACGTGCATGTGCATTTGTGTGCATGTGTGCACATGCGTGCCTCACCATGTGTCCCAGAGACAGGTGTGAGGGGCACCGATATCTTCTGGCTAGTGTCCCTGCAGGGCATGGGTGCTCTCCAGCCACATGGTCACCAGTGCATCTGAGTGACATTTCCTCTCAGGAAAGGGGATGAGTGAGCTGCTCGGTGCCCTGTGAAATGCAGTCTAATGAAGTTCCAGAACTAGTGAAGCTGCAGGCTGTGGCAGGGATGGTGAGGCCCTGTGGGGGTAGGTGTTTGCCCTCTGTGTCTAACATCTGTGAAGGGGTGGAGCCTGGGCCGGAACCCAGGTGGCTCAGCGGGGCCCTTTGGAGCCCAAGTTCCTCTTTGAGGGGCAGCCCTAACCTGCCTGCCCTGCCTCCACCCAGTGCCTCCACCAACAGAGCTGGGGATGTGGCTCGGGGGCAGCCCATGGCTCCAAGGGCAGGAGGGCAGCCTATGAGTGGCTGCCCCAGCCTCTCTCACTTCTCTCGCCTCCTGGTTAATTGTTAACTCTTCCCCTGGCATAAGTATGTGCCAAACTCAGCAAGCTTGGTGAAAATATGCCAAGACAAGGGCAGAAAAATGGGGCCCAGTCACCCAGAGATAGCCAAAGCCACTTTACAGCCCCCGAAGAACTCCAGCTAAACAGGAAAGCTTGCGGTACCACTCTGCCATCTCCTAGCACAAGTAAGGGGCTGGCCAGGATGAAGTCGTCCCTGAGCAGGCCTTGCTGGGAGTGACTGACCCCTCTGGAGGTGGTCCAGAAACCCCCACAACCAGCAGTGCATTCCTGGACGTGCCATGCCTGGATCTAACACTTGGGAGAAGTGCCACAGCAATTGAACGCTCAGCATCTTTTTATTTTTCCAAACAAGATAGAATTCACATACCATAAAATTCACCCTTTTGAAGTGCACCATTCAGTGGTGTTTTGTATCACAGCATCTACTTTAAGCCAGTGGTCAACCACAGGTCATCACCAAATGCGCCACCAGTGGGCCATATGGACACAATTAGAAGTGTTATTGGATCTGCTGCCTTCACACTTGTCGGCTCCTCTTTCCTAGGCTGACACTTTGAACTTTCTATTGCAGACAGTCCCCTTTCACCCATCCTGGGCCCAGCAGCCCCAGAGCACCTCTGCTGGGCTGCAGCCAGAACACTATCTGCTCTGAGCTGGAGCCTCCCACATCTCATTCCCTAGGCTGCCAGGGTGGAGGTCCTGAGGTTTGGAAAGGAGGCCCGTGAAACCTGAGGCGCCCATGTCTGCTAAGGTTTTCCAGAGTCAAGGAGCATTGGCAGGGGTGGGTCCAATTTTGTGAGGTCTGAAGCTTGTATAATTTAGAGGACCTTCTTTAAGAAAAAGAATGCAAAATGGTGAATACAAAATTAGGTCTAGAGTTTTGGAAAGGGCCTGTTCAAGTGAGCACCCGAGCTACAAGGATCGTTAGCTTCACAGTAAATCTTTGCCTGCCTGGGCATTGGGCATTGTGTTTCCCTGATGGGAATGGAGCTCTGGGAAGTTCCCAGGACTTCGGTTCATCCTTGTCTCTCCCACGTGAGGCTTGGATCTGGAAGTCAATGAAGTTGGTTTTTCTTCTGCAGATGAAGTGGCTGGTTCTGGATGTCCACTAAAAACAGCCCCTTCTGTAGGGCAGAGGTACCCATAAAGGGAGCCTGGGGTCCAGGCGAATGAAGGGGGTATCACCGCAGAGCCTGGACGAAAGGGCTGACCAGTTCGCTGAGGACCAAACTGTAATTGACTCTCATGTGCACCCTGCTCTCACCCACCAGCCAAACCTCCAGCCCCCAGCGGGAGTGGGAGTGGGGCATATCTGACAGTTGGCTCTCGGAGTGCCCTGGAGAGCCATGCCACTTGCACTTGATTGCAACAGGGACACATTCTACTCTAGTCTGTGGGCCTGTCAGCTTTTGAATCTGAGCCAGCCCGGTGTCATGATCTGTCCTGAGATAAATGCCTCTTGCAAGTCCAAAGGCTCCTACCTGGGGGCACATTCCAGATGTGTTGGGCAATAATTTGGTTATTTCCCTGCACAGGTTTGTCTCTTCTTGCATCAGGTTGGCCTTCTTTTCAAGCTTCAGGAGCCTTGAAAAGAGCCCTGCCCAGTGTCTCTTCCGAAGCCTTTGCTTGCTCAACACAGTGTACTATGGAAATCTTCAGAGCATGTTGCATTATGGCAAAAATACCAAAATCTCAACCATAGAGTGACTAACTACAAAAACCACAGCTAGGTTTGCCTTGAAAATTACAATAACCCTTTTTAACTTAAAAAGAAAAAAGGCCCCTCTCTCTTTCTTTCTCCACCATCGTAGTGTGTGTTTGGCTCTGCCTCTCGCCATGTCTTCTCACAAGACTTTCAAGATTAAGCAATTCCTGGCCAAGAAACAAAAGCAAAATCGTCCCATTCCCCAGTGGATTCGGATGAAAACTGGTAATAAAATCAGGTACAGCTCCAAAAGGAGACATTGGGGAAGAACCAAGCTGGGTCTGTAAGGAATTGCACACGAGATGGCACACGTATTTATGCTGTCCGAAGATCACAATCGTGTTACCATGTCAAGCTGAAAATGTCACCACTGTCTGGACAGTTGGATGTGTTTTTTTGGGAGTATGCTTTTTCTCTCTGAATCTGTTAGGAACCTGCTGGTTGACTGGGTTCTGTAATAAATACGTGAGACCTTTCATTTCAAAAAAGAAAAATAGGCCTCCTTCCCAGGGGCTCGGGATTTCACCAGCCTCCTGTGCACGCCCAGCCATATAAACCGCACAGGAGTGGCTCCAAGTGCACTGTGGCCTCTTTGAACTGCAGGCCTTTGCACATCCCAGTCCTTTTCCTCGCAATGCCTTTCTCATCTCTTTTCTCCTCCAGCTTGAACATCACTTCCTCCTGGCAGTTGCCCCTCTGCAGCTTCCTTTCTGCTCCCACAGGACCATGATGGGGAGGAGAGCTGGGGCGTGCAGGATGGAGGAGCTCTTGCTAGCAGACATTAAGACTCATGTCTTAATGTCGCACCCCTCTTGGGTGAGAAGGAGCCACAGGTAAAAAGACATAACCGAGCTTTTCAATGATACAGGTGTTTACTCTTGTCCTTGCGCTGGTGTCACAGGTGGCCCTGCTTGAACAGTAGCCCTGTAGGATATTCTGACCAAAGGTCTCAAGCCCTTCCTCCTTGGCCAGGCACCCATGCCCCTTCGCCATTCACTGAAAATGGGAGAGGTGGGAGAAGGTAAAAGGGACTCTGTGGGTGGAGTCTTCAGGTCAGAGAAGGAGAAGCTGTGCCCGAGGGCTTGGGGAGCGGAGTGGATGAGCAGGTGGAGGTGGAGGTGGAGGTGGGTGTGTGAGCCCAGAACTGGCCCTGCCAGATGGCTGGTCCCTGAGTCAGGCCCAGGCGCTGACTGCCACGTGGGCAGTAGCCAGCCCCAGTCATGGGAACGGCAGGCGGAATCAGAGCTCTCTCCACCCCTAGGAGGGCCGCACCTGCCTGGAGCTTCTCCTGCCTGGCCCTGACAGCCCTGGGCTCCCTCTGGGAAAGGATAGGGGCAGGGGCAGCGGCAAGGGTAGGGTGGGGTGGAACACTTGTTATCAGGGCAGCAGTTCCCAGCCATGCCTTGTAGTGTTAGGGTCCCTAGAATAACTCACAGGGGTTGTCGATCAAGGCCATAAAGATCTGAGCCAGGCAAGGTCCAGGGAAAGGCTTTCTGAGAGCCTCCATGCCATCCCCAGGTGCCAACCTCCCTCCCCTTCCTCCCTGGAAGCCAGAGCACCACAATAAAGGGAGGGGGAGAGGTTGGTGATGCCTTCTGGGGAGTGGAAGCGTTTGTCTCCCAGTCCCTGCCCCTTCTGTTCCCAAGTTCATGGGAAAGGAGGACCTGTCCTGTGCCACAAGAAAGACTCTGGCCCTCACACCTGTCATTGTACCTCTACTTGGAGCAGCATTTTCAAAGGCCTGTGCTCCAGACCTGCGCCTCTTTCCTGCAGCCCCCCAGCTGGACCATCAAGGCCTGGTCCTGGGAACAGTGTGGTCAGTTCAGGGGCCTGTGGTTGAACTTTTGCTGCCATCCCATCCCATGTCCAGTGAAAGATATTCACCTCTCAGACCTTCCCTTGCACATGTGCTCACTCAACTAATAGCCGTTAAGGACCCAGCATGTGCCACATCCATTCTATATACTGGGGGGAGTCAGTGGGGAATAAAGCAGACAAAATCCCTGCCCCATGGAACTTCATTCTAGCAGGAGTGGGGTGGGGGAAGACGAACAGGAAACTAAACTTTACAGAGTATGGGAGAACAATAATTCTTAAACTCTCTCTGGTGAAAAACCAGTTGATTTTTTTTTCCATCTGCATTTGAATTTCTGAGCAATGTCAAATTTAGAGATCCTATAGCTAGAGATGTTATGGCATAGAAGCTTCCAAATGCATCCCCTCAATTTCTGTATGTGTATCCTCTTGCAGTGCTGGTCCACACTGTGTGCCAAGGTGACAAGAGCTTTGGGGGAAAGCAGGGAAGGACGAGAGGGATGAGAAGTTTGAAGCAAGGTAGTAGGGCTTTGGGAGAGTTGCAGTTTTAAAGAGGAGTTATTAAGAAGGTGACATTTGAGCAAATATTTGAAGGAGGTAAGGGAGTGAGTCATGTGTGTAACTGAGAAAGACGCATTCCAGATAGAAGTTTTAATAAAAGGAAAGTTGAACCTCGACTGGTTGAAGCCCCCCGAGGAGTGAGGGGCAGGGGCAGGAAGCAAAGGAGCATTGTAGGAGGGACACATGTGAAGGAAAGGCCCCCCAAATCACCCCAGGCCCACCAGCATCCTGAGTGGGGCTACAGTTACATTCTACCCGGTCTCCCCTCTCCTTTCAGAACTTTCTTTCTTTACAAACCAGCTCTCAACACCTGATATGTGGGTCACTCACAACACAGGCTGTTCTTTTAATAAAATGGCATTGTTTGCTGTGCTCAGCGCGTCTACCTCCAGCTTTGAACACAAGAGGTGCTTTAACCCAGGAGCTGGTCTGAGTCCTGCTTCTGCATCTATAGGCACAGGGCCATGACTGTGAAGAAGGTTCCATCCATCTGACTTGCTTCTGCATCTGAGCCCAGGTTATATGGCACAGGAGACGTGGCAGGATGAAGATTCCTTCCTCCGTTGAAAGCACTTCCACATCTGCTCATGCACACCACATACATACAAACACTTTCACACCAAACACACAAGCATGACATACACTCATGGGCTTGTCCACATGCACACCTGCCACAAAAACCCAGCATAAGCCTCCAGGTACACAATATGGGCATGCGCACTTATACACACACGTGCACACACATACACATTTTTGAAGGCTTGAATGCACACCCATGCCCAACATACACCCCTCAGGCAGGCACTCATGTGTCGCCTGAACATGGACTCACTCTTCCTACAGGAGAGTTTCTATTCTGAGCAAACACCCAGTATCTGCAGTCAATGGCAAACAGGTGAATGGGACAAAATTCACTCATGTGTCCCGGTGGCCCCACCAATATAGCCCTGAAGGAGCAGGCAGCAGGCTTGTTCCCTCACCACCAGGCCCGTCAGAAGGGCAAGACCAGGGTGGGGATCAGGTCTAGGTAGGAGTACACTCAAAGCTTCTGGGTACTGACTCAAGGTCAGGAGCCAACAGCCTTGCGCGTTCCTGACAAGTAGGTCACCATGACAAGGAGCACTGGCTCACATGCTGGGACCTAAAGTTGACTGGAAAAAACTTAGGAAAATCCAGCTGTTGTGAGACAGCCAGTGTTAGTAGGTGTTGCTTTCCCATGCCAGTGAGTTAGGTTGGATCTATGCAGCACCAGAGCTGTGGAGTGTGTGTCAGCGGCCAGGGCTCTTGCTCAGCACAGCAAAGACTAGGAGAAGAGGGCAGTGGCTTAGGAGGGATTGTAGTGCTGGGAAGGATGGGTGAGGCAGGGGACACATTATGAACAGTGTTATTTTTTTAGCACACCAGCGTGTTAGGCACTGTGCTGGGTGTTTTTCATGTATTATCTTGCAAGATACAGCCCTGCAAGTTAGATTTTATTGCCTCCATTTTACAGATGAGGAGACTGAGGCTCAGAGGGCTTAAATAAATTACTCTAGGTCCTCAGCTAATAAGGGCAGAGCTGGGATATGAGTCAGGGCTTATCTGACTGCAGATCTCAGACTTTCTCAACACCATCATGTTGAAGCTAAAACTTGCATTTTAAACTGTCAAAAGCAAGAGAGACCTAAGGAGACATGGTAACTAAAGGTACAGTGGTATCCTAGATGTGATCCTGGAACAGAAAAAAAAAACATGAACTTTAGTTAATGACAATTAGCTGTGATACATGTACAATTAATTGTGTTACAAGTACTTTACTAATGTAAAAGTGTTAATAATAGAGGAAACTGGGTGCAGGGTATACAGAAACTATTTATACTGTCTTCATAATGATTCTGCAAATCTAAAACTGTCCTAAAATAATAGACTTATTTTTTAAACCTTGCATTTTTGCCAGCAACAGGAAGTAGTAGATAACCAACATTCCAAGGTGCAGCCTGTATATAAGGCCTGAAGAGGCCACGATCCCTGGAAAGTTTCTCAAAATAAGAGGCCATTCTGGACTTTGTACCACTGAGTTCCCATCACCTACATAACTTGAAATAGAGACATTAATTGCAGGGCTGTGATCACAGCCAAGGCCACCTACCTAAATGGGGCAAAAGGGCACTGAAGTCAGGCAGAGCAGCTGCAAACTGGCATGAATTCCCAAGGCTGTGGCAGAGAATTCTTGCTGGGTGTGCCTGTACCTCCCTGACGATGTGGCCTGGCCAGGCTGATGTCCCTCCATTTTCTCAACTGTTGCCACTAGAATGTAGTGGGAAAAATGTATAACTCTTATACTTCTTTTGTTAATTTATTCTTAAATATCTTATTCTTAGTAATACTACTATAAATGTAATTGTTTTCTGGATTTCATTTTCTCATATTTTATTTCCAGTACATGAAATAAAATTCATTTTTGCATATTGATCTCATATTTTGTCACCTTGCTGAACTTGTTTATTAGTCTTAATAGTTTTTTAGTGGATTCCTTAGGTTTCTATATACTGCAAGATTATGGCATCTACAAATAGAGATAGTTTAAGTTCTTTCTTTCTAATCTTGATGCTTTTTATTTCATTTTCTTGCCTAAGTACTCTAGCCACAAGCTTCAGTACAATGTTGAATAGAATTGGTGGGAACAGGTCGGGCACAGTGGCTCAAGCCTGTAATCCCAGCACTTTGGGAGGCCCAGGCGGGCGGATCACGAGGTCAGGAGATCGAGACCATCCTGGCTAACACGGTGAAACCCCATCTCTACTAAAAAATACAAAAAAACTAGCCGGGCGATGTAGCGGGCACCTGTAGTCCCAGCTACTCGGGAGGCTGAGGCAGGAGAATGACGTAAACCCGGGAGGCAGAACTTGCAGTGAGCCGAGATCCGGCCACTGCACTCCAGCCTGGGCAACAAAGTGACACTCCGTCTCAAAAAAAAAAAAAAAAAAAAGAATTGGTGGGAACAAATATCCTTGCCTTGTTCCTGATCTTAGGGGTAAAGCATTCAATTTTTCACCATTAAATACAACGTTAAGCTGTGGTGTTTTTAAAACAAAAAGAAAATAGTTGCCCTTTATCAGACTGAGGAAATTCCTTTCTATTCCTGGTTTGTTGAATGTTTCCATCCTGAAAGAGTGTTAAATGTTTTTAAATGCTTTTTTGGCATCTATTGAAATTATCATGTGGTTTAGTCATTAATTCTATTAATACAGTATATTATATTGATGTCCAGATGTTAAACCAACCTTGCATTCCTGGGATAAACATCATTGAGTCATAGGGTATACTCTTTCATATATGTTACTATTTCATTGAGTATTTTTCCCACAAGAATGTGATCCAGGAAAGCAGGCCACATCTGCCCCTGCTCACCACATTGTCCCCATTCCCTCTAGCAATGCCAGGCACAGAGAGTGCTCAGTGAACCTCAACAAATGAATGAAAAAGTCAATCTATAAAACACAGGATCTCACGGGCCTCCAAAGAGTTCACACTAGGAATAGTGACCATCATATTATCACAAATGTTTAAGTGTGCATAATCCACATAAACTGTAGAATCAAGGGAGGTTATAAAAAACCCAAACTCAGAATGAAGCCCTTTCTGAGGTGGGGGGGCATTGGGTGGATTGCTCCACTACAGTCAAGGGTGTCTCACTTTAGGTTCCAGACTGAGAAGTGGAAGCGTATGGGGACTTGGGGCCCTCTCTCCACATGCAGGTCCCCCCAGCCTAAGGAAACATGCCAAGGTCTCAGGTGGTGACATATGATCCAGGATTGCTGTGAGCAAACATAAGACAGATGAGTGGCTATGTTGTGGAAAGCAGAGTATGTTGTGGAAAGCAGGGTCTCGTCTGCTGTGGTCTGGGGATCTGTGGACCCTGTGGCAGTCAAGCTTGTCCCTGTTGACAGGTATGATCCTAATACAACTTCTAAGCAGGTTTCTTAAGCTCATCCTGAGATCACAGCTATTAATCTAAACTCTGGGGGCTGGCATGAGGATTAAATGAGATAATGAATGAAGACCCTTAGCATGATGTCCAACATAGACTAAGTGTTCAGTACATTTGTTTTATGCTAACTTTTATTATTGTTTTATGCTTTTATTATTTTTACAATTATTTTAGAAGGAAGTCCACTGACAGCCAGACTCTCTTGTAGCTTCATTTTATTCATAACTTCAAAAATCTGGCAGTCTCTTCCAGTAGGTACCACTTGAGTCAATCCAAGACCCAAAGAGCACAAGGTGCTCCCCAGGAGCAGCTGGCTGGGCACCACCCTCACCTGCTACCTGGGCACAGATGAGGGGTGCTTCAAGACAAAGAGGAAAGAAAGCTTTTCTTTCTCCCTGAATAAAAGCCCTGAGGGCAAGGGAAGTTGCCCTCCCTCTCACCCTCTGTCTCCCTACCACATTTCAGGCTGGCTGTTGATGCCCACAGTAAGGACAGTCCAGTCACAACACAAAGGCCATGGCACAAGAGGGCACCATAGGAAGAAAGCTGGGCACAGCCAGAGAGCTGGGTGCCCTGCCTGCCAGCTCTAAGAGAATCCCTGGTTCTTCTCTCCTGTGTGGTGGGAACTCCTCTCTGGATTCTGGCACCAGACTTCTAGCTCCTCATCTCCTCCATACCTGCCTTATAAGAGCAAGGCAGAATATACCAAGAATGTATTTGCTGGTCTTTTAGCAACCAGTGTGCTTGCTGAGCCAGCCTCAGGCCCTTCCCTTCCAGGAAGCAGAGCAGCAGAGCCAGCCAGGCCAGGATTTTGGCTTGAAATGCCCCCAAGACCAACCAGCTGTGCTCTCAGCCCAGGTGAGCTTCTGTGGGACCACAGCCCAGATCACCTCATAGACTCCTTACTAATGATATGGATTCCATTGCAGCCATAGGTGGAGCTGACTAAGACATTGAAGAAAATTGAAAAGAACAGTTAGAAGGCTGGGTGCAGTGGCTCAAGCCTGTAATCCCAGCACTTTGGGAGGCCGAGATGGGCGGATCACGAGGTCAGGAGATCGAGACCATCCTGGCTAACACGGTGAAACCCCATCTCTACTAAAAAAAAAAAATGCAAAGGGCTAGCCGGGCATGGTGGCGGGTACCTGTAGTCCCAGCTACTTGGGAGGCTGAGGCAGGAGAATGGCGTGAACCCGGGAGGCGGAGCTTGCAGTGAGCTGAGATCCGGCCACTGCACTCCAGCCTGGGCAATAGAGTGAGACTCTGTCTCAAAAAAAAAAAAAAAAAGAACAGTCAGAAAAGTAGGAGAACTGGGGCACCAATGGGATGTGAAGGCCTGTAGGGGAGGAAGGGGGAAGGTGAATGGGGACTGAAGAGGCCACAGGGTCTGGCGGTTGTGAGGCCACAAGTGGCTGTCTGGTGCAAACTTTCATAGCTAGAGAAGGTGTTGAAGCTGTCTGTCCAAGGATGTTCATTACAGAATTGTTTATAACAAGGAACCACTGAAAATAACTTCAAGGTCCAGCCCCAGGAGACAAATAAATAAATTGTGGTTCAGCCATGCAGAGGTTAAAAAAAAAAAATTAGCTCACAGGTTTTGTTTGGCTGTGAAGAAGAAGGGGATTGTTTGCGAACATTAAAAAGATGGAGAAGTTTTATGGGAAAAAATCCAGATGTCCAGCTTCTCTTCAACACCAAAAACTCTGGCAACACTAGACCCTCATTTCCACTTGACATGACTCTGGCTGCAGCAAGAAGCAGCTGCGTCCTTCAGATGAGGAAGTCCCTCCAGGTGGCCAAGGTTTCTACCCACCCAGTCTCTCATGCAGTTTCATGTCAGTATCTATCAGCTATGGGTAGAGATCTTGTGCACATTCTTCCCTGAGGCTGGAACATTCTCCTCTTCACCCCCAACCCTGTGCCCTGATAAGTCATTTTGATTCTTCAAAAAATAGCATTAATGTCACCTCTTCAGGGAAAATTTCCCCAACTACCACATAGTGAGTTGGGTCATCCTGTTTCGGGTTCTTCTTGCATCCTTGTAAAACTCTTCACTACACTCACTAAAGAAGTGTCTGTGACAGCTCTCCATTACAGAAGAAGTCCACTCAGTGAATACAGAAAGAAATACAAAGTCACCATTAGAATACCAGATGCCCCTGAAGGCAAGATCCACCCTTGGATATTAAACTCAGTGGGTGAAAGTTTAAGAAATATGATATTTACATAGTCTCAAAATATTTTCCCCAAAACAAATTTTCATTAATTACAAAGGGGAAAATAGTAACTTGAGAGTGAAGAAACCTAGCAGATTTCACTTTAACCAAGTGACCAAGGTTAACATCACCAGTAATAAGTTGTGTTGACATCCTGAACCCCTTGATAGGATGCACTGAGAAAAGCACGTCACTTCTGTGGTATCTGTCCCAATAAGGCACAACCGCAGTCTAATCATGAGAAAGCCTCAGACAAACCCAAACTGAGGGGCATTCTACAAAACAACGGCCCAGTACTCAGAAAAGCCTTAAGGTCATGAAAGACAAGGAAAGACTGAGGAACTGACACAGATTGGAGGAGATTAAGGAAACATGACAACCAGATTCAAAGTGAGACACAGGATCAGATCCCAGAACAGGAAAAAAAAAAAAAGTAGAAAAGAAAGTCTGTACTGAATGGCATTATGCCAATATTAATTTCTTAGTTTTCATAATGGTCGTACTGTATAGTTATGTAAGATGTTAATCTCTGGGGAAGCTAGGTGAAGGGTATGTGGAAGCTCTCTGTATCATTTCTGCATCTCCTCTGTAAGTCTGAAATGATCTCAAAATTGAAAAAAATCAAAAAGGTATGTGTGTAATTATTTGCTAGATGCCTGTGCCCCCTCCTGGGAGCCGATAAACTTCATGAGGATGTGGACAGGGACTGTGAATGCACTATCTCTATTCATCATTGCATCCTGACACTATGGAAAGTGCTTTACACATAGTGGGTATTCAATTAATATGCACTGAATAAACAGATTCATAGTTGTTGACACAGAAAAATTTCCTTGGTATATGATTAAGTAAAAAAGCTAGGATACAAAACAGCACAGTGGGATCAACAGTTTGATCCCATTTTTTGCTTTGAAAAATCATATACCAATATTTGTATAAATGAAAAGACTATAATGATTTAAAAATGAAACGTTGACAGTGGTTATCACTGGAAGATAAAGTTATGGGTATTTTTTTCTTCTTTTTACTTTGCTATATATGTATATATCTTGAGACAGAGTCTCGCTCTATTGCCCAGACTGGAGTACAGTGGCATGATCTTGGCTCACCGCAACCTCCGCCTCTTGGGTTCAAGTGATTCTTGCCTCAGTCTCCCAAGTAGCTGTGATTACAGGTGCCCGCCACCATGCCCAGCTAATTTTTGTACTTTTAGTAGAGATAGGGTTTTGACATGTTAGCCAGGCTGGTCTTGAACTCCTGGCCTCAAGTAATCTACCCGCCTCAGCCTCCCAAAGTGCCGGGATTACAGGCGTGATCCACCACGCCCGGCCTACTTTGCTATATTTTCTAAGCTTATTTAGATTTTCACAAACTCTTTTTATGTGGAGAAAAGAAAGTGTGTATATACACATACATAAAGAATGCCCTGAGCACTGTGACCGGGTTCCTGTGTGTGTGCAGACCTGGAGCCAGACCCCCGAGGGCTGGGCAGAAGATGCAGGTGTCTGAGCCCTGGGAGATGGTGACCCAGCAGCATGGTGACTGAAATCAATGGAGGGGCGAGGTGCCAAAAGGGCAAGTTAATTATCCTCCACTTCTCAGCTTCTCCATTCAGCCAGCTGGCACTTCCTACCTAAGCAAAATTCTGAACTCGTGTATTAATTTCCTCGAGCTGCCATAACAGATGGTCACGAACTGGGTGACAACGCAGGAATGTATTCTCACAGTTCTGGAGGCTAGCAGTCTGAAATCAAGGTGTTCACAGGGCCATGCTCCCTCTGAAGATGCTAAGGGGGAATTCTTCCTGGCTTCTGATGACTCCTGGCAGTCCTTGGTATTCCTTGGCTTATAGCTGAGTCACTTCACTCCCTACCTTTGTCATTATATGGCCTTCTTCCCTGTTGTCTCCTCTGTGTCTCTGTATCCAAATCTCTCTCTCCTTTTTCTTATAAAGACATCAGTCATTGGATTTAGGGCCCACCCTAATCCTGTATGACCTCATCTTAACTTGATTACATCTGCAAAGACCCTATCTCTAAATAAGGTCACCTTCACAGGTATCAGGGGTTAGGACTTGAGCATATTTTTTGAGAAGAGACAGTTCAACATACTACAGCCAGGAACTACCCTGTACCCATTTTCTATTACTGTGTAACATACCACTTCAAAACTTAGCTGCTGAAAACAACCATTTTATTTGCTCATAATTCTGTAAGTCAGCAATTAGGGCTGGGCTCAGCTGGGAGATTCTTTTGCTAGTCTCCCCTGGGCTCATTAGTGGGGCTGCAGTCTTCTGGTGGCTTGACTGAAAGGGAAGGTCCAAGATGGTCATATTCATGTCTGACACTTGGTGTTGGCAGTAGTGAGTCAGTCTGGTGAGCCTCAGCGGGGATGGTATTTGTCTACTCCACGTGGCTTGTCATGCTCCATCAGGCTAGCCCAGGCATGTTCACATGTAGATTGGCAGATGCTAAGAGGACAAAAGCTAAAGCTGCAAAGCCTCTTGAGAACTAAGCTGCTGCATTCTAGTGGTCAAAGCAAGTCACAGGCAAGCCCAAATTCAAGGGGTAGGGAAGGAGGCTCGACCTTTTCAAGGAAGAAGTAGCAGAGTTACGTTGCAGAGGGGCATGCACATAGGAATGGGAGGGGTTACTGAAGCCATCTTTGCAAACTATCTACCATAGACTTCAAGTTCTGGGAGGATAAGATAAACAGATTCAGCCTTGACCTTAAGAAGCAAGTCTAGCCCCCTGACTGAGGCACTGCAGCAAGTGCCACGTGTTAGAATAAAGGCACAGGAGAAAGCAGTGAGTTCCCTGGTGTGTACAGCAGAGAGCTAGTAGGAAGTGAAAACTGAGCTGCCCACTTGCCCTCTAAGTCCCAAGTCAAGGACCTGTCATCCGTGTCTGGTTCTGGATAATGATCTCCATGTCCTGGGCCCTTAGGGCTCCAGATACAAGCTAAAATAATCATAGTTTAACCCTAAAGCAAAGATGGCATGGTCTCAAATCCCCAAAGAAGCAGTTACGTTCTCATGCTGACTGAGGCAAGAAAAGGTTTCCCAACATGAGGTTGGTACACAAATGGACTTAGAGCTAACCCTTGACAGAGTCCCTTTTCCCTCCCTCACAGACAAATGCTTGCCCTCTTCTCCAGTGACTGCTCAGGAGAGGTCTATCTGCCTACACTTCTGTGGGAGGAAAAACTCCAAGTACACACATCTAATATGCCATCAGGGGGTGGGAATCCTGGCTGCATTTTTTTCACTTGTAACTTTGACCCGCTTTCCTCATCTGTGAGATGTGGGTTCATGGGACTACAGTAAGAACCAGTGAGAATTATTTGCAAACACTCCAGAAATTGTGCCATTGTCTGTAAGGACATGTGTAGCTCTTGGCTCATTCATTTACTTAATCGTTCCCTCTTGTAATGTTTAACCCCATTTTGTCTGCCCACAGCAGCATCCTCCATCTCCCGGGATCCACTCTTCACTCTTTTCTGACCAGGAACTTTGAATGGGAAATGCCATATTCCTGGATACCCTCTTCACAGTGCTTGGTCCAAGGTTGAGCAATTGGCTCAAGTTGGGTCAGTCAGCATTCTTCCCTGAAATTTTTCAGTGTGAGAATGTAAAGAAGTAGCTTATTGCCCCTTTGGATTTGTAGTCAGAAAGTGCTGGAGCCATTTATAGTCAAGTCCTTCACCATGGGAAGGAACTGGAGCGAGGACAGAAGATGTAAGTGAATTCTGGTACGGTGTCAGTTCTTGGTTCCAGCTGTCTCTGAGGCCCACCCTTCTCTTCCTGCAGTTATGAGAACTTTCCCAGAGAAACTTCTTTTTGCCTAAGCTTGTAACCAAAGGAATCTTGACCAAGACAGACAGTTTGTTGAACGTTTATTGAGCAATTCTACCTGCCAAGCCCTGGAGATACAACAGAGAAGACATGGATCCTTTCCTCTGAAATGTCGTAGTGGCAGAGAAAACAACAGGCAGGTGATAGGGGCTGCCACAGTCGTAGTGCAGAGCAGGCAAGCTCCGTGTTGCTTAGGGGAGTCCACAAACATCTCACAGGAGGAGGAGGCGCCTACCCACAGCCTTAGGTAAGACTCACTAGTGGTGGGGCGGGGGTGGATGGGGAAGTGCAGGGCTGTGGGGAGTTGCAGGAGACTGTTGGGATGTGAGGGTAACAGTGCGTATAAAGGCACAGGATACGGATTGACACAACACTACTGGGGAACAGAGCATTTCCTGGGGGCTGGGACTCAGGTGGAGAATGAGACAGCATCAGATCAGAAGGGCCTTGTGGACCAGGCTTGAGAGCATGACAGTAGTGGACAGTTGCTGAGGAGCTGGGTGCAACCAGGGTCACCATACTTGTAGGAAGAGGTGTACCAGGTGAGACACAGGCACTGGGAGGGCTGCTTACATCATGCTAAGGCAGTTACCTAGTTTCTACCTACAGCCTTCACCCTGCACCTTGGGACACTCACCTAAAGGGGGTCAGCAGGTGCGAATGGAGCTCCCTCATGCAGACAAGCTCAGCCTCCTTCCGAAGCTGGTCCTGTCATTAGGACCGTGGGATCAGGCCAGCCCCTCTGCACATCCTGCCTGCCCCACTCAGCAGCAGGCAGAGGCCAGCAGTCCCATGGTGGACTGGCTTTGCTGTAGGCACTATGCCCTCTGCTCCTGTGAGATCCTGGAGCAAGCTGCCCTGGCAAAAAACATATCTGCTCACAATTGTAAAAGCAGCAGCAACAAGAAGTGAGCCTTTTGGTTCATACAGGAGGCAAACAGAGCATTTAGAGGAGGAGGATCTCTGTGGAGCCCCTCTCAGCTGTGCAGGACCAGAGGGGGCCTCCTTCTAGGGATCAGAGCCCTTCTTTCCTACAGCAGTCCTTGAGTGACAGGCACCTTCTCAGGGGCTTGGTACACCAAGCAGAAGGGCCCCCAATCCAGGGGCAGCCAAGAGATCAGGCCATGTGGAGCCTATGAGCTGCACAAAAGAGCAGGTGGTCAACTCAAGGCAAAGGAATTTCTTGGACACTTGTACCTAAAGCCGTGGTCAGAGATCAGTGAGCACCACAGAAGCTATCAGGAGGTGGTGTGAGCAGCTAAGTAGCTCAGGTCAAATAGCTGGAGAGTTTCCCAAGACTCAAATACATATTCCCAGATGCTCTGCCAGACAGAATCCCATCTACCCGCCATCCTCCACAGCACCTTGCTCTGCCTCCTGCAGTGACAGGTAACAAGATTCTGTGAATTCTTTGCCCACTATGCTGTGAATCTCTGAAGACAGGACCTGGCTTGTTCACACTGCAGCCCCAGCTCCAGCCTAGGCCTGGTGTAGGGCAGAGGCTGCAAATAGGAGTTGGTAGTGAATGAATGGCCGCTTGAGGAGCTTGCAGCAGTGCTCTGGGGCAGCAGTGCATGTTGGGGTGAGAACAGCCCCAGAGACTGGAGGAGAGGATCTTGGAAAAGGGCCGCAGGACAAGCAGCAAACTCAGATCCAGAAAGCCTGATCTGAGACAAGCTCAGGGAGATAGGAGGAACAATCTGGGCCAGGCAGCCTCACCAGGAGTGTCCCAGCAGAGGAAGCCAAGAGCAGGGAGGACAGGGATGCAGGGAGGTGATGGAGCTGGGATGAGAAGAACCCACAGGTGAGGGGACTCAGGACAGAGAATAAGGACTCAGGGTCCCTCATATTCTTAGCAACAGGAAAGATCTCAGCACTGGCCTGGACATCACCATAATGCCCACAGTAACCAAGGCCCCACACCTACGCTCAGTGGACCCTCAGGACTGGGGCAGCCAGGATTCATACTTAGGAAGGCTAGATGAGCTGGCCGCTGGCAGAACAGGGTGAACCCTGTGACTAGACCGGTGAGCATGAGGACCCTGCAGGCTGAAAAGGACATTGCTGGGCAGAGGCTGTTACTGTGATACCCTCAGTGACTTATCAGGAGTGTTGCATCTGGGCCTACTCAGTGGTACACTGGGTTGGCAGGGGAGAGGTGGGAGCTGTGCGGCTGCAGGCAGGGAGTGACTTCTAGTCTGGATGGGAGTCAGAGCCACTTCATTGCTAGAACAGCAAGTGGAGGGTAAGCAGGACTTAGCTGGGTGCTGGGGTGGCCTTTGAGTACCAGGTCCAGGCACTCAGGCACCCAGGACAGAGGGAAATGGAAAGTGACCCACCAGATGGAGAAGAGGGAAGGATGAGGTTGGAGAGGGAATTGAGACCATCCCAGAGGGCTGTGTAGGCCAAGGCCAGAGTTGAATGCTGTCCTGAATGCCTGCAGGGTGCCAGGGAAGGGTTGCAAGCAAGGCATGGCAAGGTGAGATTAGCATTTTTGGAAGAATTGTAGACTCACCCTGTCTTCCCCACCATCCTCCACTCCAAGGCCTACAGTGCTATGCCCTGTGGTATTTCTTTGGCAGCTATGACCTTAAGCTCTCAACAATGACCTACAAGAGGTCTGGGAGAGACAGACAGGGGTGGGAGCAGGCGAGTTGCCCATGGGCAGCTCCACCCTGAGGCCTCGCTCCAGGAGATTCCCTGCTGGGCAGTGACCAGGGATCAGGCTCAGGCTTGCTTAGACTCAGAATCCCCAGGCATAGGCGGAAGTGTGGCCACTATGTCTTGGGCCTCACCCGGAATGAAGTACCCTTTAGAAGCCCATTGGCTTCTCAAGGTATTGGGCCTGGCCTGCAAGCCTTCCCCACCTGCCTGGCCCTCCCAGCCCTGGCTTCTCGTTGGGCTGGTCTGGCCAAGCTGGAAGGCCCCAGGGCCACATTTTGGGCCCTGCCCTCACCTGTACCTGCGTCAGTGCTGCTGCCAGCCTCCTACCTCGGGCTTAAGGAGAGGGCCCACCCTGGGCCCTGGCTCCTCACCAGCTATCCGGGACTCTCCCGTCCCCATTGCTTGTCAGACAGCCTGGGTTGGGTTGTACTTCTGAGCCCCATCCTCCCCCATCCCCACCACTGCCCAGCTCAGCATCTTCCAGGGATGCTCAGGTTCCCAGGCCCTGCCTCAGGTGAGGGCCGCATTGCCGCTCCTTTGCACAGCTCCAGATGGCAGAAAACAAAAGTGTGCACAGGATAGGGGCTGGGATCCTTAACCCTTCCCTGCTTGTACAGGCACCCTGCCACCCCCTACTTGCTCCCTTTGACCACACCAACCCATAATCTATGGCACTTCCCCTGCACTCCTGGGAGATTTTTTAACCACGTGGGGATTTGGCGAGAAGTGATTTATTACTTTCAACAACAGAAGGATGATGCAATCTACAGCTCCCCACAGGAGAAGGGAGGGAGGGGGACACCAGGAGCAGGTCCAGGGGACAAGAGGGAACAGAGAATCATATGTCCAAGCATTGTTTTTAGCCCCTCGTATAATATTGTGCTGGGCACAGATGGCGCAGCAGCTCTGCCTTGGAGGAGCTCAAGCTGGCTGGAGATAGATGATAGGAAGTTGATAATATGTGGAGCAGGTGTTTATGAAGCAGGAAGCAGAGGTTCCAGGAACAGAGACCTGTGATCTAGGGGCAGCCAGAAAATCTCAGAGGAAGACCATCCCAGTTGAGGCCTACAGGTTGAGTTGGCCAGTTAAAGAAGGACAGTGAGGCTAGAAGGAGGATGAACCTGGGTGACAAGAGGGAAAGGAAGGTACAGGGAGGACAGCAGACCTTTTTTTATTTTTTGAGACAGAGTCTCGCTCTGTCACCGGGCTGGATTGCAGTGGCAAGTTCTCGGCTCACTGCAACCTCCAACTCCCTGGTTCAAATGATTCTCCTGCCTCAGCCTCCCAAGTAGCTAGGATTACAGGCATGCACCACCATGCCTAGCTAATTTTTGTATTTTTAGTAGAGACGAGGTTTCACCATGTTGGCCAGGATGGTCTCGATCTTCTGACCTCATGATCTGCCTGCCTCGGCCTCCCAAAGTGCTGGGATTACAGGGGTGAGCCACTGCGCTGGGCCAAAAGTAGACATTCCACATGGCTAGAGAGTGGAAGGCCAAGTGGTACAAGACAGGCCTGGAGAGAGAGTGACCGGGATAGTATGGGCTCCAGGAAACATCTACTGCCAGGCAGGGCGCTTTTTGGTGAGATGTCCCTCAACTGGATAGGGGGATGCAGCTCCTGCCAGCGTCCTGTGTATACAACCCAGAAAAATGCCCTCCAAATGGCTCACTCTTGCTTCTGTCCTGTGAGCCCTGGACCATACTACCCAGTTAGAACCACAAGAGTTTCCTATATGAGCTATCCTGTCCTCCCAGGACCCCAGCCAAGCCAGTGCTTTGCTTTCACTGACCACATAATAACTTATTTTGCAAATAGGCATCTGAGATTCAGAGCAGACAAGGAACTTGACTGAAGCCATGGGGCACACCAGAGGAGAAGGGGGTTCAAGGCTGTCCAATGCCGAAGCTTTGGGCAATGTTAATGGGTGTCGCACGCTACACAAACAGGCACTTTTCTGCAGGACTTTTCAGAACCTTTAATGTAACAGCGGATGAAAGGCTTATATAACATGGAGAGACGCATTTTCTCCTTTTGTCCCTAATGGACACCTTTCATCCCCAATGGATCCGCTGTCTCCAAGGAGCCTATTCTGGGGCCTGCTGTCTGAACTGTAGGGTCAGAGACAGGATTTTGGAGGCCTCCCTGCTCTATGCTCTCTGTATGTTGACTTTAGCACTGTCCTTTTTTGATTTTCCAATTGCATTTGGGAAGATTGGCTTTTAATTGGAGGTTTACATGAGCATGGGTGAAGGAGAATGGGGAAGTTAAGCTCCCTTGACCTCCAGCCTTCACAAAAGACTTCTTCATTCCATGCACATTACCTGAGGCCTTGGATCACCTATGTTGATGTGTCTGTGGCTCAAGAAGGGACATTCCCAGAGGAAAGAGCCGCTCTGGGTCACCAAGCGTGCCAGCATGTTTTGGGAAGGCTTCCAGGAAGTGGTCGTGTTTTATTGTGAAGGAAAGGTGGGAAAAGAACAAAAGACAAGAGCAAAGGCATAAAGGAAGGAGTCATGGTTACAGGAAGTGCAGGAATCATAGGTCCTGAGGCTTGGAAGAAGTCAAGAAAGGAAATCAGTA